GACGGTTTAGAAAGTACAACCTCTATTTTATTGACAGAACATTTAAAAAAAAAAAATTCTGTCAGTCCTACATGGAGTTTGTGAGTTTGCAGCCGTTTGGGTTCTGTTAGCTTGTTAGCTTGTTAGCTGGTTGACGTTTGTGTTTACATTATATTAGAGTCACTTAAATACGCCAGCAGTCACCACTGTATTCATGGTTGTCGCAGAATAAAAAATGTATAAACTTGGCCATGTCGGCGTTGAACATTAGCGGTTGCTACGTGTTTCATTTTCAGCCGTGTGAGGGATTATTTGCTGAGACGACTCAGTCCTGCTCTGAGTCAACTGTAATTGAATTAAAACGACTCGAGGACTGTGTGTCATGAAGTCTTTGAATAAAGAGCTGCTGCATTCTGGGTATTACCTGCCAAGTGCCAGTGTGAGTAACCACACACACACACACACGCGGACTGGTTTTATGTATTAGGATTTATGCGTTCCCTGGCCTACTATAACTATAATCTGACTCTTACTATAATCTGACCCTTACTATAATTGGATCCTAACTATAATCTGATTCTAACTATAATCTGATTCTAACTATAATCTGATTCTAACTATAATCTGACTCTTACTATAATCTGACCCTAACTATAATCTGACCCTAACTATAATCTGACCCTTACTATAATTGGATCCTAACTATAATCTGATTCTAACTATAATCTGATCCTCACTATAATCTGATCCTTACTATAATCTGACTCTTACTATAATCTGACTCTTACTATAATCTGACTCTTACTATAATCTGACCCTAACTATAATCTGACTATAACTATAATCTGACTCTAATTCCAGTTTAATCTCGGCACCTCAGCGTCCACACAAGGACACAGAGTCCTGACAACAAAACTTTTTTTTAACCATAAACGTCCCCACAAGTATAGCTATGTCTGAAACACACACACACACACACACAGACTAACGGTCCACACTGTAGGAAACACAGGCTGCAGCCAAGACTATATACAGACTGACACATTTCCTCTCTCTCTCTGGTCTGTGGTGGTCCTCCCCTCCTCCCCCCCACCTCCCCCCTCCTTCTGCCCCCC